CCCACCCCCCACACTTTATTTGTGTTCCCCACTTCATTACCACAAGCAGTATTTTCAAAAATTAAGCTATGATTTCCACTTCCCAGATAAAAAGAAAGTCACGATGATAAATAAGGTTCTTCAAATTTCTTTCTATATTTTACCTTACGTCTACAAGAGATTACTAAGCAAATTTCCATCAGCCACAGTTCAATTTTAAGAACTATTAAGACATTTTTTATAAAAAAAAAAAAATCTTTCGCTTAACTCGCAATTAACAAAATCAACACGTCATGGACATGTGTAGTTTTATCCTATCTCAGGTTTGTCTCTGATGTAAGAAATGCATTTCAAATTGCTTTAAAAAATATGAAATGAATTTTCCTTGTGTTATTTTCTTTATAACACCTTTGATCAAGAGAGGATATATGTTTTAATACATTACTAAACACTAAACATCTTGAATGAAATGTATCCTAAAAAAACATGCATTTATAATTATTGATTTACTACGACTGATCAGCTACGAAAATCTAATCCACTAAAAAAAGTATTAACCCGCAACTTAGTGTATCGTACCTATGTTCTTACCCATGTGAAAAAAGTGTGTCAAGCACGTGAAAATAAGTGAACTAAATATTTCTAGACAGAGCATTCTGTATAATAGAACGGCCAACTATAACAGTCTTGAGCAGTATTTAACTAAGTATACCTTCCATCGCCCCTGTGTTTTCTATTACCGCACTCGCTGGAAATATCACAGAAAAAAACACTAGACCATTTTAAATGTTTGCGATTGATTATAGGACAATCTTTTACATTTCTTTTATAAATTCTTGGCATGATATGAAACCAATACAATATTTCAAATATATTTAAGACATCAATCAGAAATAAGAATATATATAAAAAAGATATAAGTTTTATGGATTTCTATTCCGGAATTAATTTATTACCTTTATTATATTTATTCAAATTTATTTGTCATGTTATACTGATAACAAAGTAATTGTCTCTCATAAACATTAAAACATTTGATGAGATATTACATAAAAATGTTGAGAACTGCGCAATACGTTACTTCTTTATACTAATCAATTACTCAGATATATTAAGACACAATAATATCAACGTTTCCCTTTTCAGGTAAACGTTTGAAGTATTTTAATGCAAAGTTTTACGATTTGGCATGTCATTTGTCGCGTAAAATTACAATAAGTATATTAAGCCTTAATGTCATATTGAAAGATGGAAAATCTTCACTTAATAACATATCAAATAGTGCGATAAAATGGTAACCTTATAAATTGTGTTTGCTATAATATTGTTAACATCAACATATAGTAAATATAACTGCTGAGAGGTTCCATGATGGAATATATTCTCTATCATATCGCACAGAAATCTGGAAAAAAAATCCATTAAATGTGGATAGTACAATTGTATACAGTATAAATGAAATGAAACAATTAAAAAAATGTTTTTATCCTTATTCAAAGCAAACTCGATATTCAAGATCCATCAATACTTTTGTTTGATACAGTAGCAAAATTTTAAGAATAATCGAGCAATGTTTATCATTTGTTCAAAGCACTGGAATCTTGTTCAGTGAACAAATCCAAAATGCTCGTCAATGTTATTAAGTCAAAACAAATGTAACTCACAAATTTGACGACAAATATTAAATGTCATTAAATTAATTATCATAATCCTCATACACAAGGTGACAGTTGCTGTTCACTTATTAAACAAACGTAATTCCAAAACCTGTGAGATTTGTGAAATTTACAACAATAGAACTGTGAATAATAAGCTGTGTGGTGAATTTTTGAATTCTTTGGTAATACTACCCTCTGTAGCCGCGGGACTGTCAAGGTGGTTATCAAACGCAAACATACGCCATGTCAATGTCAAAGTCTATGACGTCATTACAAGTTTCGCTTTATTTACATTATGATTTTTTGACGTTGATATCCGCATGCTAGATTCAACCAGTACATGTAACAGTCGCAGCTAAAGGGAAAATTTATTGTTGTGTTTTAATACTTGTAACAAAACATATAAACGGATTTTGGCAACTCATTTTCAACGTGAAATGCGACTGACTAAACCACAGAATCTTGCAAAGACATGTCGACATTTTCAAGTATCATACCTCATGGAGTATAATGAATACACGACTTTATCAATTACTGGCTCTTTGTGATTATTATTTTTTTAATTCATCACAAATTATTTAGATTCCAGCCAGTTTAAATCAGTGTCTGTTAAGTATAAGTGTGAAAGAGAGGTCTAAAGAAGGAAGGCTGTTATTAGATGTTCTCAAGATTCTGTGTTCAGTGGCTGTGTATCGTAATTATAGTCATGTGACCAAGCATATACATGTATATAAAGGTTGAACAATATCAGCATTAGCGCCGTCAATTGTGCTGGCGGACAACATTGATTATCAGTACCTCCAGTCTCCTTCTTTAAAAATCGCTTAACTGTAGAGAAATAAAACCACTTAAACAGTTTAATACAGTTTTGCAATTAACAAGTAAATCTGTCTGTTAAAAAGTCTGATTTTCCCTTACTATGGTGATGTGAATTATACAAATTTAAATCAAGTCGAAAATATATCGCCATCTGAACAACTACAATATGTTTTTCAAATTTAAGAGAAAAACGTGATAGCCTTTAAGTAGCAAGTCTAGCAAAATGCATCTGAAAACGACTATGTTTTTGTTTTAATTTCTGTGTGTGTTTGATAGAACTGTCCGAAGCCTCGGAGTTTACCAAATTGAATATACCTCGGGTGAAATTTTCCTATCCTACACACAAATAAATGAAAGAGCCTTTTAATATGTGTATTAAATTCAATAATTTCAACATAGTAAGGGTCCGTATATGCATGATAAAAACAAATATCTTTTGCAAAATATTTGATCCTGACCATGCAGTGCTTTTCAAAACAAACGCACGCATTCTGCATAACCAATGACATGCTGTAATTATGACATCCGTCGGTCAAATAATTCTTACCAATTAATTTGGTGATGCTATAACCTAGGAAACAGGGAATATTTGGCAATTTCAGTTATCATTTTCCCCCGAACAATTTAATTTCATTAGGACATAGTTAATACATTATTGCTCAATTATATCAATACATGTGCATTGTACAACAATTTAAAAAACATATTACGATACTATTAATAGTAACCTGCTATGGTGTATGTATTAATCGTGTAGAAGCCAGACCTAACCTTATTCCGTCTTTGCGTATTGCAGAGTTATCTTCTCTTGAGAGCAGGTATTGATTGTTACGTCATTGGTTTGTGCGAGAAAATTATGTCGTTTTCTCAAAAATTGATGACGTTACTCTCACAAACAAGTGACGTAACAATCAATACCTGCTCCCAAGAGAAGATAACTCTGCAATACGCAAAGACGGAATATGTAAGAGTGAATGTTAACACTTCAGTAGGGCAATACACAAATACAACAGTGATACAAGTTAAAGCTATATTGTTAAAGTGTTTATATGGTAATGGGACGATACAATCTTACTTTACATACAAACAAACATACATACAACGTAGAACAAGCACAAACGTCACAATAAAATCGCCTATGCTATTGATCAATTTCGTTCCAGCATTACCAATTATTTAGTTCACAAACTTCATCAGATAGATTCCAAAACAATATGTTTTAGATAAACTAAAAAGATTAATAATTATTTAAAAGAATTTAAAAAAATGAACACTTTATATTCTAATTTAAATTCATTTAGGATATTTAAATTTCAATGATTAAAATTTGTTTTACAATTTTCATTTTTTTCTGACGATAAAAATCACTTTCCATTGAAAAACACTAATAACATAAATTAACTATAATAATTAAAAAGAAAAAAAGGGTTATACAACATTTATAGACAAGATGCAACATGCACAATGTTCGGTCAAACATAACTACTAAAACTATTTACAATAAACAATAACATCAAATTTTTAACAAAGCAGATATTAAACAGTGTGAAATAATCGAAAATGATTGATTTGATGTTTTAGATAACAATACAAAAACAGCACAATTAGTTAACAATTTGACGATTGTATGAAGCTGTTTTCATTTTAAGGTAAACAATGACATACATTTTAGACTTGTTCATTAAGCTGAATTTTGTGCTAGTTTGTTAACATTATCACTGTCTGCATAACTGACCAGCAATAATGCATTAACACATGATGTTGATTATCAAGGTTATGCTGTCCTAATGATTTAAATATAGTATTACCAATGGGGGAAAAAGTATAGGAATAAAGCAATCAATAACTACTGTGACTTCAATAGGTATTGTATTTTTTGAAACTGCAGCATGCCAAATATCAGTTTAAAATGTTGTTTTCCAATGTCTAATGTTTTAATAGTTCTGTCCTACTTCTGAAGTGAATACTAATCTGTTTCTTTTTATATGGACATGTACGTAGTTATTCAGTACAAAAACATAATTTTCAAAAGAAACAATGTTTGATTACAAGAATTGAGAATTCACAACTCTGTCATATGATTGAAGTTATTGAAAATAATTCCATCAAAAAGAGGAATATTAATATTAACCAAATATGATTGTGATCTGGTGTGTTTGGAAGCTAACAAGAACAAGGCCAATATTAAAGCGTGGTGATATACGAACCCAAAGATAAAAACCGTGGTAAATGGTGGTATGTGTATTGATTGTTTAAGCTATTTATTGTTTCTTTTACAAATGCAAAACTCAAACTTGAGTTAGATTTTGTTTGTATTGTCTCACTATATTTTCTTATTTTACAAACTGCTACAAATGAATCATGGTCTAGTTTTGGGTTTAATGGATTTAAAAAAAAACAAAAACAGAGACACATATTCATTAAAATTAATGACGTTTTGTTTGTTTTTCAGTACATTGTTTGTTTTTCAGTTTATACTGCATCCAACAAGTACTATAGCCTTGAAAAAGTGCTATATGGTCCCTTTGAGATCATTTATCGTTACATTTTTCTGGTATTGATAACTAGCCCATATAATGTAGTTTTTTGTTTTATTATTATTGTACAAGACTTTAATGCAAATCAATACCCGCATTTCTCTTACAATACCAGTATTATACAACACACGTTTGTGGGAGATATGCGTTTAGTTAAGGATAATTATGTAATGCACATGAAATATTTCTCTAAACTAAAACCTATTTGCAGTTTTTAAAACTATAGAACGGTGTGTAGTATCGCATTTACAGATACGAGTATATGTGTGTAAATAATTTTAATCTTTAAAATAAAAGAATAAAGAATCACTGATCGACAACACTGATAAACAACATATAAACTTAATAAAGTTTAATACAGAGGGAAATATATCATTTCTGCATATCTAAATAGTCTATTCATATTGAAAACTTGTAAGATGGTAACCTCAGTTTTTACTTGATTTATTTTTAGCATCCGTTAAACGACACAACAGCAGCATTGAGTCCTTTATAAAGGTGACATCACCAATACAAAAAGACTATGTTATCAAGTCAATGTGTTACTTTTTGATTCTACAGCTAAAATTGACAATTGAATAAAGTAATGAATTATTGGGACAGGAACAACACAGAAACGAAACGCACAATACTTATGCAGATATATACTTTGAGGGCAATGAAAAAATTGGTCAACAGATCTGTATATAAATATATAATAAAGTCATGACAAAATCTGAGTAATATGAAATGTCACATTTCGCCATTACCTCTTGAACAATTTGAAAAGACTTTTGCTAATGTTGTAAGCAAATGTCAAAATAGATCCTTACCATTATTTCACAAATGTATACCTAAGTTTTTAAATTAATAAAAAATTTTTTTTTTTTTTTTTTGCCAAATGTGTTAGACATATCCAATAAATGCATTGAAAATTATAGAATGACAACAAATTAGTTTTAAGACATTTGAAAACTATTCAAAAATTAAACAAATAATTATTTTGAAAATAAATAATAACAACTGATGACCATTTATTTTAACAATTCATTTTCTTTTTTTGACGATACGGTGATAACCAAATGTGACTTTAGAAGGAGGTTAGGGTGCAGGTGATATTTCAGCAAGACCGTTTCTACAGGGATATACATAATACAGGTAGAACATAAAAGTACCTATGACAGCTGTAGCTCCTTTTTTAAACATTGCCACTGATAAAAACAAAATAAACAAGAAATCTGAAAAGTTTGTAATTTATGCAAGGTAACAAAACCTCGGTACTGCGTTTACATAATAGCAATATTTCAAAACAGATTGTGTAATTTCGATGGAGTCATTTCTCAGAGTTATACCGTTCGCCAACTGGTATTACAATGAGAATATCATTATGCATCTTTGCCACGTTATATTCCACAATCTTGATGAATTATGGCCTTAGTAAACAAAGTAACAAGGCTCATCAATCACTATTTTTAATTATACCTTCAACTTCTTAAATTATCAGGAAACAAAAAGATGTTTAATCAAACCTTTATATAATTGCAGTTATGTCATTGAGAATTATCTTTCCTGCTATTTTAAAATAATTCTTATTATTTTTCAAACAATGATAAAATGCATTACATTCCGCTTAATATCACTTGTCATATATCAGAAGAAAACGTGATATTAAGTGAAGCATGACATCAAATATGATGTGTTTTGTGACATCTTCTCTACAATTCAATAAATGCATCGAGAAATAGCATCTGATTAGGTAGTTAATTAAAGTAAAATGTTACCTGTCTTTAAATAACTTCTTAACTAATTTACATATCTACCTAGTAGTTTAAATCATGTTCAAGTTAAAGGTTTACGATACATTCATTTAAGCATGCACACGGCAAAACAGCAATTCACTCAATACCTATTCACCTGAAAGAATTTGATCTAAGAAAACCCCACAAACAATTAAATTATTAATATGGGTTCAATCTACTAGGTACTGAAAACAGAAATAGTTACCACATGGACACATTTTCCAACTTACATGTAATGCATTTAATAAACAACCGTTCGAATATTAATTTCTAAATTTATCTAAACACTTTTATGATATCAGTTATGCTGTACACGAGACATTTAGTAATTAAATACTATATTACCATTATCTACTAGGGGAACATATTTATAAAAAGTAAGATACTACATTAACTGATACAAAGTAAGTCCTAATATAATTTAGCTAGACTAACCCTTCGTTCTCAACTTTAAAATTACCATTTTAGAGATACAAAAGGTATGGTACCTTGTTAGAAATATTTTTATTGATCAGCCTTTTTATTTTATAGAATTTGTTTGTTTCCTGGGTAAATATAAACTTGTTATTTATTAAGTTAATCAATCAAAATATCAATTTAGTGTTTTACTGTGTTTTTTTTACCTACCGCCATCCTTAACTTAATGATCTGAACTATTATAGTACACCAATCTGTTATATATTTTGCATTTATGATAATATAATAATAATAATATACAACATTTGATATAGCGCCCTGTCGAGCTAATATAAACCTCTCTGAAGCGCTTTACAGTACATGTATATACCATTAATACAATAAGCATATACATAAATCAATACAATTATCAGGCACTAACTACTGACTGACTGAATGTATTGTTTAGAACCCTTATTGTTTGATATTGATGCTTTTATTGTAGCAACATAGTATCATATTCATAAATATTAAAACTTAAAATAAATCAATTTATTTTTTGTTTTGTTTTCGTATTGCTGTTATCTGGTTCTCCACTGAACTGCCAAATACATTTCATAAATCTTCCCATGTATTGTTTGTCACTGTAACACGAATGTAGTGAGTTGGAAATATTTTCACCAGAAATTAATAAAATATTATGCGTGATAACCGTATCCTATTGTCTCACTATGAACCTTTGTTTAGAAAAGGACTAAATGGATCTCAACCAACTCCACTCTAAAATCGGAATTCCATATAACATCTATTTGATTTATTGTATACTGCTAATGAAAATATATCTTTCAAACAATACATTCGAACTTATTACTAACGGTTTTAATCCTCAATATTGATCCCAACACGGCATATTGTTACCAATTACTGTAGCTTTATCTAGTAATAGCTCTTTGTCCTTAAGTAGAGTATCAAAATCAAAAGTCATGATCGTCAAATGTAAGCTTTTATATCTGGCTTAAGTATGATTTTGAGAGTATTTCTTTCCAATAAATTTCTGTTTTACAAATCCAACAATCTGTCAGAGAATTGATTCACTTTAGATAAAAATAACTTCAAATACTTAGCAGATGTTTGTTTGCGTTGAAGATTGTTGTTTTCATCTGTTTTTTCATCTTTGATAGTTAGTAATTTCCATGCAATATAGTAACCATTTGACTTGGGAACTAGCTGTTAGGCAAATTGGGGTTGGGGGTTTAAAGGTTAATTATATTTGGGAGGACAAAACCGAGCAGAATTAAGAGTTTTACTGACAAAGACTAAAGCCTGGTTCTACATGACAACGTCAGCTACATAACATGACTTTTATTGACACAATTAATAACTAAGTTTAAGTATTTTGCTCAAGAATATTCAAACAAATTAGCTATTGTGATAACATATCGTTCAAACAGATGACAGATCGAAACTTTAATGATGATGTAATTCCATTGGTAAATATATGCAATGCTTGTACTTAAAATTTATTACATTTTTTAAAAATGGTCAAAATTATCATTGTTACGACACAATTGATTAATTTATGAAAATTTGAATTTAAACAAGAATTATTGTAATTGAACTGAATTCAAAAAGCAATCGAAATGGAAAATTTTGTTTTTAATGTACTAAACATTAATTTCAAAACGGTAATTTACATTGATTAAGTAACAGTAATTTGACTGATAACTTACATGGTTTGCAGCGACACTTCTTGATCGCCCTCACATCCGTTGTGGTACTGTGACATGTTTTACAGAAGTAAAAAGCCCTGCAACAGGAAAAAGAAACATATGAACATCAAGTATATCCAAATATTGTCTAAGCAGGATAAAGTAAATCTTTTCGTCTAGATACAAGTATTTTCACTACGGAAATCATTTCTATTATTGAAATAAGAAGTGAATAGTATATTTCACCAAAAAGTCTAATATTTCCAAGTCAGCGGCCAGTTAATGATGTTTGTAAAATGCATTTTCATTAATTCTAAGTACACATTTTCTTGAATTCTTCGATGATGTTCCCTATCTTTTCTAAATAACAGCTATCATTGCGGTAATCGATTTGAACAAAATTGTAATTAATATGGAACTTTTTGAATTCTTCTACTCACAATTCATACACGTAACACATTACCTCAGTAAAATCTAAATTACAGATTGCATAATCAAAATAAACGAGTTTACAGTATTTAGGTTTACAACTTGATTAATCTTATCAAATTGTTCTAGAATAATCTTACAGCGATTCCCTAATACCAGGAGCTATGTTATTGCATATACAGTGTTATTCCGTCTTAATCAATTGTAATTAAAACCGCTCAAGACACACCAATTTCCATCTGATGTTCAAGCATATGACACATTCATTTATATTGAAATGAAACATGAAATGTACGTGTGTTTAAACAAAACATTTCTAAAATGAATATTTAATAGGGAAATACACGTGTTGCATATGTTCATGAATATAGGTTGGGTAAGGCTGTTTGTAATTCACCTTTTAACCTCCTCTGCTGACTCTGCGATGAAAAAACCTTGAGTGGCATTTTCTATTTTTATTTTCTGACCAGGATTTATTGCAAGAGTGCTCTCTCTTCCTTCTTCCTGTCGAACCTCAATGGCCAGTAGAAGCAGCTTCAGTTTGGAGAAACATAACCTGAAAAGTATAGAAATGATTTAAAATGTAATGAAATCGCAAAACATCAAACTTGCTAAACATTATTAGAAAGTAATAACAGCAAGTATTAGACAAAAACGTTTTTTTGTGTGTTTGTTTTCATGTAAGCCATATGATTTATTTTTAATGTTGGTTATGTAAGAAATATTAACCAGCTCTCCATATGCATTAAATTGATACAATTTTAGATTTGTGTATGTTACTATCCACTAACAATTGTATCAGTAGAACACAACATATATGAAAGTGTTAAATTTGACTGCAAGCCGTTTTATATTTCCCAAATCAGACTCAGTGAACCGATGTACATATAGACAAATAAGTATAAACAACTATGTTCAGCTCATGTTAGTGCGCTATTGGAACAAATGAAGCAACGAAAAAATACAACTGTACAATAGGAAATTGTTATCGTTAGGTTTCCTTGGTGTGCTCACTGGTGACTGATACTGTGAAATCAGACATACACGTGGGGCCCAAGTTTCGTTGGTTTTCCGTAACATCATGTTATATTCACAAATTCAACGGAACTACAACCACACGAAAAAGTTTGATTTCACCGTATATTATAAGTATTACAATGTTAAAAGCAATTGTTTGGATTTTGATAGTATTAAACAAATCAACTCACTCTGCAGCCTCTGGAAAGGTCATCCCATTAAATGAACCTGACAGGTATTCTGTGTACATTTCCATTGCCGTCCCTCGCATGTAATCATTTTGCCACTTAGACATGTCAGGTGACTAGAAAGAAAAGTTTGAACAAGGTTACAGTCAAACCTCGATATAGTGACCCTCGTTTCAGTTGCCACCTCGTTAACCGCCAACATATTTAAAGGTCTCTTTTTCTCTTCTTAAAAATGCCTCTATATGTTTCCCTCAATTTATCGCCCAATCCCCTTCATAATGCAAATTTTGTTGGAAGTGCAAACAGGTTTTACTGTTCATTTATTATTCTTAAAAGAGTTAAAAATAAATCCATAATACAATATGTTTATGCCTGTTGTTTTCGAATTATTTTAATTTCGATCACAGCAGTAAAAAACGTCGACATAAAGGGTGTCAACATTAAATGATAACATTCGAATTTAATAGCACATATTTGAAATTAATTGACATATTTTACTAGCTACTTCGAACATCGGTATTAAAACCCCTGTCACACTAGGGCCGCGTTCCCACGGCGTCCAAGAAATTTCGAGAACGCCTATCTGTGCGCAGTGGAATCGCAAGCATCGCCACGGCAACGCAGTGGCATCACGAGTGAACGCGGTGGTATCGCATAGAACGCCGAACGACGGCGCGCACTTTGAGCATGTCCAAAACAACACCGTCGCTCGGCGTTCTGATAAGAGCGCAGTAGAATCGCCGTGTGGTCGCCATAGCAGCGCAGTTACGTCTCCTACAACAGGATGGCCGCGGGCGCGCACATAGGTCGCAGTACGAACGCAATGGTTATCGGTGGCGCTTGCACGGCGATCGTACGGCGTTCTCTGAGATGACACTGCGTCTCTACCGCGCTTATACGCGCCGTGACAACTCTATGTACGCAGTAGAAGCGCCATGAGAGCCCCATGAGAGCGCAGACAATCGCCAAATAAAACTCCTTACGAACGCGGTAAAACGCCATTGAGCTTCATAGAAACGCCAAGGTCGCCATGAGAACGCAATGACAGTGCCATCTTCATGAAAAATATCAATTTTTCCTGCGATCTCACGGCGCTCTGGGAAAGTTAACAACGCCGTGCAATCGCAGTGGCAAGGCGGCTAGGTGTGACAGGGGCTTTATATAAGATGCACTTACCTCAATTAGAACTAGGCTTATTAGTTACAGTTATCGATATAAAAGGTACAGTAACAGATGTCGACGTCTATTCTCATATCAAAACCAAATGATAATTAATCATCCATGTACATTGTACATTACAATATCTATGGTTCAGAACACTATTACACCTTCGTCGCGGAAGGCCAAACAGGCAGCAGGTTAACTACAGCAAACATTTCCCAGCATACACTAGCATAGTCAGCCACCCAATCATCTGTTTGTTATCCTATTATTATATTAAAGACTTTCTATGTATCAGAAACACCTCTTTAATTGACGTAGTGATTTCAAATGAGGAAATTTATTATCTCTGTTTTGATTGACCATCGATGTCAAAAACACCTTTGCCTCACCTCTATGAGAACCCTCTCTGTAACCCTATGAAAAATAAGGAATACTACTTGACTTCTTGTAGGACAGAAAGATAATATATCGTCGATCAGAGCAAGAAATTTTATACACCCTGAATAAACCTTTACAACCTCACACCCCTATCATTACTACTGATGTTCTTTCCTTCAACTCTTAAATCAGTACATTTCACTCACTGTTTTATACGACCTCATGGTAAAGAGGTTAGCCATCAAGGTGGAGAAACCTGGAGCCAGACAGCTTTGGGCAATAAATCCAAGCTTCAGTTCTGCGATACACACAGCATCGTCCCCGCGTTTCCAGTCCCAGCTTGGGATGTTCAGTAGGTATGCCTGAAATCGTCAATCAATTGAAATTGTTATTGTCGTAAATGTTTGAAATGGCAAATGGTATAATGTATGTGACAAAACGACAGGGCCAGTACAGCATATTTTTTTTGATGTCAAGTGCCTGATAAGGAGGTCAGGAGCTAAAGAATGAGATCAAAGGTTACCGATTTAAATCGGAGATCTAGTTGAGAGGCTTTATTCATAGGTTACTAATATGGAGCAGAAAATCGATAGATACAGCTTCGGATTAACATAGAACTGCAAGTTTAGAGTCGAGGCTTCAGGATTATAAATTCATGTTTAAGTCAGAGAAGATTGAATTAGCAGGAAAAATAATACGGTTTACATGAATACATCAGGTGAGACTGCAGTCTGAGGAATTTAACACGAGTTCAGGTTTCAGTGTGTTATGACATCATTTCCTTGTATTATGACATCATCGCCTTGTATTATGACAGCATTGCAGTTTGTTATGACATAATTGCAATATGTTATGACATCATTACCTTGTTGTGGTACTGCATGAGCTGTACAATGACTTTGATTTCTGCGTGGAAATTTTTGATTGAAATTACGCGCATGATGTTAGCCGCGTCCTCCTGATCTGGGTCCTGACAGTACTTATTGGCGAGTACAAGACAGGCGTCGGCCGACACAACCTAAAACAAAAAACAATATCAGTCCGTGATATTTTTTTCAACACGAGTTGATATATTTGTATTATTCCACAGTTTAGCCACATTTTGTATACACGATTAAAAAACATTGACAAACGTCTTATATATTCAAGATTTACTACCGATTAAATTTAGAACAAAAACCAAAAAACAATAATTATATTTTTTTTTTATTTTCATTTCTTTTTCTTTTAATTTCAGCAGGTATAACTTTTCTTGTACTTTACCAAAATAAGCTTTCAGCTTCTGATTCATGTAATCATAACAGTGTGAAATGCTGAAGTGCATGGTAAAATCAATATACTTCTACCATCATTTATTTATATTAGTCCATACAGATACAAGCTCTTTATCTTCTGACCCATCAGTCTAGACTTCAGCAGCGTATCTTTTTTTAGATATCTCATCATGGCAAATATTCTGCAGTCCGTAATCAAATTTTCATGAAATGCTTTATTTGTCTGAACCATAATCAATTTAAGCAATAATAGGCATACCTGGTTGTCAATAAATAAAAAGCCCCACGGGGACTGTAAAGAATACCCCACCTGGTTTCTGCTTTTTGAACGTAAATTGAGATAGGTGTTTGCTTCACTTTAATCAAATACGCATTAAATATTGACCTTTTCATATTGAGGTTCAAAGAATGCCAATTACGATGTTTTACTCCAGAGGTCAAAAAACTATCTGCATCTGCGACTCCTTACTCCCAATGGTTTAAATTTAAGGCATGAAATGCCAATTATCCAGTAACAATAACAAAAAAAATAAAAAATAAAAATAAAAAAAAATTGCTAACCCACTGTATCTGTCCTCCTCAAACAGCCCCCATAACCTCAGTTCCATCATTATAGCATGTTAACCAATAGTTCATACTGTATTACAAAATAAAAACTGATCATGATCATCATATTTCTCCAGAAAAAGACTACATTGCCTATAGTAAACGTTTCATCTTCTCAAGGTCAACATTAGCGTTAAAACGATCTTGAGATTAATAATGTACCTATTTTGGATGAAATACCAGATTTGTCAATATCATATAATTTTGGAGAATTAATTCACTGAAATATTCCAACCCTTTGCACGCTTATAAAGTCCTTTAACGACTAAATGCTTTCACTGTCCTTTAACGACTAAAGGCTTTCAATGTCCTTTAACGACTAAATGCTTTCAAGATCCTTTAACGACTAAATGCGTTCAATGTCCTTTAACGACTAAATGCTTTCAATGTCCTTTAACGACTAAATGCTTTCAATGCCCTTTAACGACTAAATGCGTTCAATGTTCTTTAACGACTAAATGCTTTCAATGTCCTTTAACGACTAAATGCTTTCAATGCCCTTTAACGACTAAATGCTTTCACTGTCCTTTAACGACTAAATGCTTTCAAGATCCTTTAACGACTAAATGCTTTCAATGTCCTTTAACGACTTAATGCTGATTGGTACAACGTTTACTGTCTCTGACCTTCACTCGATCAAGGTCGTTAGCGTCCATCACTGTTCCCTGGAAAAACTCGACTTGCGTGAAATGGCGTTTGAATAATCCCTCTAACTCCAGGTCTGGCAGGCTCCTGCAATGAAAAAGAGTTTTACATTAATAAACATCAACATATACCAAACACAACTGAAATGTGATTTAAAATGTCAAACACACATAGGCCGGTAGTCTGTTTTCTGAAATGCGATGACCTTTTTATTGTAATTGTTTGATAAGCAATGTTTAACTGTCGAAAGCTATTTACCCACCACGTAAGTAGGCACTTTATACAGAGACAGTCACGAGGTCGGTTATCGTGTTATATAACAGCAAAAAGGGCCAGCAATATGCTGCCTGCTTGTATTGGGTTGTCTCGACAAGGACTAAATAGTATGATCTGTCTGATACAGCTGTAGTTCTTAACTTGCACGGTCAACGAATGAAAATACACTTCAACCCTCTAAGATCAATGCTTTCAAATAATTTATCACATAACCGCTGTATATTTCCTCACTCACAACTCATTGGATAAACCATCACGTTTATGCCTAACAGAAATCCCAGCTCTCATTGTACCTAGCCTGATGAGTGTTTGTTACCTGTTTATTATCCCCATACTATTTCCCAAACTAGTCTCTGCTGCATGTTTAGTTACATCATAAAATAAATTGCTGGTTCCCTACGTCATGATTGCAAGAGACTAATGTGATAAAAGTTTATCTGTACCCCACTCTGAAAAACTTCTGAACTTTATATTTCCTCTCTGGAATACATTTTTAACTATAAGTCATTCACAAGGGCTCTGGTTAAACCGCTGTCAAATGTATTCAATCTGGTTTGGTGTCATGCTCCCTGTCCATGGTATACCATATCGGACAACAAAACCACACTTCATTGGCCCAATCAAAATAATGTCATGAGAAAAAAGCTGATTCAAAGACGTTAAACAAAAAGGTTCTATATTAACAAAGACTAAGGTCTTACTTGTGGATGAAGATGATCTCTACGTCAACATCCTCTCTGTCTTTGTGAAGGAAGTCTTTGAGGAAGCTTGACACTGAGTCAAACGTGATATGGCCGCACACCACAATGTGTCTAAAATCAATGAATTCATATTTATTTGGAATTTTTCGGATATATACAAAATCAGAATTTGATTAGTTTTTAAAAAACACATTTAACACTCTTGCTAATTTAATAACAGTATATTATTGTTTCTTTCAAGGGTTAATAGGTTTTAGAAAATAAAATGTGAATTTAAATAGAGGCCTGGTGTATTAAGAGAAGTAATAAACAAAAGAAATATGATTTTTTTGATTTTTTTTAAACCAAAGACAAATTGCATTTTTCTGAACGCAATTGAATGCGTGGAATTGCACCGGAATAAATTTAATACATCTTTAGGAATTAAAACAAAATATTTATATATATAATGGAATCCCATAGATGTAATTTCCGCGATATTCTTGATGACGGTTCCTTATTTCTGGTTTTGATATCAGGCAGGTATTGAGTGACAGCCCAAGTGTTAGGAAGGATGAGTGTCGGTGATTTGGTTAACATACACACACATAACTCACTTTTTTCCTCGTTCCTTTTTGTACGCTCCGCCATACTTCTGTTGCTGGCTGATGATGTCGGCTATTTCAGGTATGAAGCTGGCAAACATACCCTACAATACAGGTTAAATCCATCATTAACATATCAGAAAAAAAGGATATACATCTCAGCAGCGAAACGTACCGCGGCATACGATATTAAGTTACAATGGGTTTTCTACATCATCTCCTTAATTAAGAGGGATTTGACTTGGTATACATGAGTCTGAGCTCAAGTGAGGAAGGAGCTGCATTAACTGTTTGTCTCATAACAACTCACAGCCTACCTTGGCTTTCGATTTGTATTCTTTATCTTATTCAGTTATAGTACAGCAATGTATTGCAAAGACTTGTTTTAACTTGGATTATTCATAGATTTGGCTGGGGTAATTTTTTCACTTATTCTCAATTGTAAATTTGTAAACCTTAATACAATTCCATAGGCTCTAAAGATTGTTTAAAAATTCAAGATAGTTAGCTAGGCTGTTCAATTTTAAAACTAAAGGAATCATTGCCTATAAAACCCATATGGATAAAACTTAAGATAATAACGGGAAATGATTTACGTAAATCTTGTATCAAATGCCTAGCAATATGCCGAAATAGACTTTTTAATTATTTTAAATTTCAAAAAAGGATTCATATATTAATGCAATTATGTATGTTATTTCCTAGACGTTCGCACATGGTGTATGCTACAGTGTAGCTCAGTTTTGGTATACTTTATCTATTGTCACTTATTTTTAAAGTTGCAATTATTTGTGGGTGTGTTGCGTTCATATTCTTCAATACGATTCTAGTGTGGGCTTATATTATAATTAGTACTGTGTTGTTTTTTGCTTCTATTGTATGATGCGTACAATACAAAATAAAGTTAATGTGTTGTATATTCATATATGTATTCTTTATCTACAATAGGTTTCATCTTTCTCAATCCTCCAAGCCCATGTTTTATCTATAGACAATCACATAATGTGAAATATCAGCACGCGGCGTGACATCACCATATTTTTCGACGTCACACTTGCATTATGAAGAATGATACACATTCCTTCATTTCCCAGCAGTGCGTTTTTTTAAAGAAATAACATTTTTTAAGAAAGTAATAATGATATAACTAAATCGAAAAAGATTCTTTTAATTCGTTAAATCACAAAGACTTGTAAATGTATTGCATGTCAAAAACATTTATATACTGAAGTAAGTGACATTTTATAACAAAAATGTAACACACAAGCACATGACTACATCTCTCAAATTTGGTGAGAATGGCATGACCTTGAATATAAAAACAATGTGATTGTTATCTTCAGAACAGAAATATACGTGATCAGTAATCTTGTATATATAGACTTACGATACTGATCATGATGTACAGGACGATGAAAATCCTGCCGAGGGTCGTTGTGGCATATATGTCTCCATATCCCACTGTTGACATGGTAACCAGCAAAAAGTAAAGACATTCCCAATAAGTTAATTTTTGTGGGTTGCCAAAATCCGGTGGATCTCCGGAATTTTCAATCTGAAATGATATACAGAAAACATCACTAAATCACTCATATATGTATGTCTTATTTCATTTATGCATTGATACATATCTTTCGTGTATATGATAGATTACTTTTGTTGATATATCAATTTCCAATATAAAATGTAAAACCTCGTAATACTACCACAACCTGCCTCTCAAAATAATGGGGTTATAAAGGGATTTGGCGCTATATCGAAGGAGAACAACACATTTGTGCGAGAACGAGATTTGGAGACGTTGGTTTATTCGTCGGTAAGCAAAGTAAGGTAACGGATGAATCAAGGGGTATCAAAGCGAAAGTTTACCGTGCTGGAGTTTTAATATCACGATTTATATCACTATGAACAGTGTTTTGTTAAATAAAAGGCAAGGCATAGTACTAACCAGATGTAGGAAACCAGCAGATGCCAGCCAAACGCTTAAAAAGATGGCGACGAGTTGTGACAGTCGAATCCTCGTACTAGTAGTCAATATGTTTAGGTAGGTAAGTATGTCCGGTATTGACATCAGCCGCAGAGCTCTCAAAAATCTCAACCCTGCGAACAACAAAGACATTCATTAGATAAAATTACTATACATTACTTATGAAACAAGTTATAACAACCTAAATGAATCACTCTTGTTGGTCTTAAAGTGGGCGGACATCGGAGTACCCGAGAGAAACCCACGTTTTTGGACAAGTGACATCATACCGCAGTGAACGCGTTATCCACTGCGCCACCTGACCACAACAGAAAAGAGACGACCGATCGTGAAAAACAAGGAAAAAGGATAAGAAATCCTTAGTTAAGATATCCATAGTTCAAGAGATGAAATAGCAGGAGAATTTGGGGAGGGAGGTTGGAAGTGAATATGTTGTTTCCCTTCAAATGGAATCAAGGAGGCGATATTTAAGGGAGAACATTAGCACGTATAGGTGATGGAAACGGATACCGGAGTTAAAGACAAATTAAGGAAAATGCTAAAAAAAGTAAAATAAAAATCAGGAAAAAAGTGAGGGTTGTAGCTAGCTAGTAGGTGAAGTGTGATAGTTCTTCCGTTCTAATTTCTGTTGTACAGGCACTGCCATCAATCAGTAGAATTAAACAACTTAACAACCCTTTATTCGGTTGATTGACATCAATTGTTAATTTAACATAATTCTATATAATGATGACGTTCACAGAGTCCATACAACATTTATCTATGATAATATATGTTACCGATTAAGCAGATATATTTTATATACGATTAATTATTCTCGTGATGCCAAACTACTCTTAAACATGTAAATGTTTTCGGAAAAATTTGATTGAGTAGCTTGCCATATATATTTTTCAACTCTCTTCATACCGGATGCGGAGTTCTCCATGTTGGAGGAAACTGGAGTATCAGCAGAAACCCTCGTAGTAAAGCATGTGACCAAATTCCTTTTCACGTCCGATCGGGGAATCGAACCCGGCCACCTTGGTGAAAGGCGAGTGCGTTATTCACTGCGCCACCCGACCGATCTAGGCCATATCAAGCTAACATTTAGGTTAGGTCCTATGTAAGTTCATAAGCGATCCTTTTGAGTTCAGTTGTTATAGGCATTTTCAACAATCAATGATAGTTTGGCAAGTTATCTTTCAGTGCTACTCTCCCCCCTCTCTTAACCTCTAGCTTTGTTCCCTTTTATCTTCCCTCCTTTTCCTTTCATTTTCTTTTGTTGGGCCAATTTTGTCCCTGACATGCAACCAAACACAAATGTGCACACATTTTCTAGTACTCCCTATCTCCTCACATCTTATCATTGAGCCAAGTCCAAAACTACGCGAGTAAAACACTTGCATATGCGCGTGAAAAAAACTAAATGCGTGGTAAAAATGATAGAACTTCATTGTTCACATCTCGTTCCCTATGTCCAAATTTCGCTATATTACATCTCCTTCCCTTTTTGATATCTGTCCTAATTTATCTACCTATTCTCTTTCTCTTATCTTTGTTTCCTCAGTCTCATTCCATCCCTTACCTAACCCTTAACCGCACAGATTTCTTTACACATTACTAGAGCTTCCTCCCAATTCCCTATTTGATTTTCCTCTTCCATACGATATCAGTATACCTCTCCGTATTCCCCAAATCTGACACGAGCATTTACAAGAAAAGAGTTCTAACAGAGATGCAACAATAGGTAACATGGAATTCTAGCAATAACAATTATTGCACCTGGACCCAGTCCACAAGTCTCAGTGACACCAGGAATGTGCCTTAATAGTGTTTTTAGAGCAGACGACAAGACAACAGAATGTAAGGCTCATAATGTATTCCTGCCCGATGCCAAACATATGCAACAATGCATGAAGAGTTTACCTCCATCGAAGGTAAAACCTCATGTAAAATACGCAGGATGAAAAGAATAAATTTGTTGGTCTTCGTCCCAAGGGAAACATTAATACGAACTTTGCCAGTAGTCCATGAAGATAACATGTTGTGCATACATTCTCAGTCTCAGAAAAAAGTCACGTTTGATGGGTAATACTGTGTAATAGCTCTGCAGTGTTAATTTGGTGGTGTTATAACAGCGTTGAAGAATACCTCGCAATCAACGTCATAGATCTATTTTGACGGACCCTTTCAAATTAAATTGTCTACAATCGCCTTTAATTGATTGTCGATTTTCATTTCGGTTTAGCAAATTGTTGCCACGGAAACAGCCAAAGAAGGGTTGTCAATTAATGTCTACATTTTAAAATTGTGTGATTGAAAATGAATGTGTTAATGATGTCCTTATACCGTCCTACATTGCAATTACAGGAACCAAGACCCATAACGTAATGAGTAATTTATCCTGAGGTGACAGATACCAGATTACTGAAAGGTTGAGAGGCACGACTCTTGAGGGAACATGGCACACTCTCGGGAAATTTTCAGAGGTTAGATATATCATTCATTTAATTTCGAACGCCAGATAAAATTCCAGGATGACTTCAAAGGTTCAAGGCTAGTATATGAATCCTCTTTCCAAGTTAATGTAAATTTGTCACAGAACTGGAATAATACAAACAATAATCGAAGTTTATCAACCTAATATACGATGCTTTACTTGACCATATTCTACTGCATAATCAAACAATTAACATTACCTCTGGTTTATGAGCTGTCGATCTACATTATTTATAATTGTATTTATGCTAATTCAAGTATAAGATTGACTACGAATCATGTAATTTGCATATAATGACACCAATTAATATAATACCCCAGGAACATGTGTCTGTTTACAACACTTGTTTCGTTGATCAGTGGTTACAAAGATCAAAGGTGATGTCTATTTAGGCTAAAGGTCAATAATAATGTTTGATTATTGATCAAAGGTCAATACAGTTATCTGTTTCCAATAAACTGAATATTTTACTTCTTTAAAAAGATTTTAAAACTTGTTTTTTTTTAACTAAATATCTAACATGTACTACCATGGCCATAACTGGAAAATACACTAGAAACGCATCTACCTATTGTCTGGTAAACTAGAAAAAGATTTCAGATATTTCCTTCTGTTTGCTCTATACTGGACTATTATTTAGAGACGCATCAATGGCGGACCCAGGGGTGTTGCCCTAGTTGACCGGGCAACACCCTTTTTCCAATGTACACAAATAATCTGGACCAAGGTTGTTGGGGGTTTCCTCTATTTCATATGGGATTTCCTTCTAATATCAACCATCTCTTGAACTATGATTTTCTGGCAGCATTTTGAATATCTATATATGCCTAAGGATATTGCCCAAACAAGGAGTTCATTACTTATACTCTAAGCCATAGGAGATTAATCCTCCATTGTCTATATATTTGAATAGGGTCTCCAGTCGAGTCAGTGGTCAAGGCTCACCGTACTGACTCTACCTAATCCTATTGTTCTAATGTCAGGGTGTGGTGATCACCCGGTCAGTTGGGAGAGGACTATTCCAAGTATTGGAATTATGTATATAGGTATAGGGTTAGGGTTAGGGTTATTTCAAAGGTAGAGTCTATTTTATGATAGATCGATATACCTGTATTTTCACCTGTGGTTTCAAGTACACATGGTCACCACGAGTGATTTTTTTTACCAATTAAAATTATAAATTTCAAAAATTTCAAAGACAATGAAGCCCCCTCCTTAGCATCACTTTATCATGTGAATAATAACCAATGTTGGCATCAAAACCTGGTGTGTACATCCTTTTCATTAGGTGTTTCCCTTGTACATACGTATGAATACTATTTCACAATAAAAGACAAACAGTTAAAACATAATACATATTTATGACAAAATAAATAAATATTTAATTGCCAAAAACTGGCCCATTATCAGGTGAATCTACACATCCCCCTTAAATTTGGCAAGTGGCCATCTTAAGGGCCTGACACAAACATCTACATTTTAACCTTTATCTTTTACAGAATTTGTTAACACTCACAGAAAAAAACTTTTGCTTCGTTCCGTTCGGCAGATATATTACAATTGGGCCTATCTCAGACAAGCGAATAAAAGGGAAGTTCTATATATATTATGTGGCAGAAAGTAGTATACATGTAAACTGATATGACAGTTCTCATTTATAAGGGTCAAAATCTGCGTTTTTCCGAGTTTAACATTTTGGGCAACACCCCAAATTAATTCGTGCGTCCCCCCTGCACCTCCCTGTTGCTAGTATACTGGACTATTATTTAGAGACTCCCTTCATGTTGTCTGGTATACTGGACTATTATTTGGAGACTCCCGTCCCTGTTGCTAGTATACTGGACTATTATTTAGAGACTCCCTTCCCTGTTGTCTGATATACTGGACTATTATTTAAGAGACTCCCTTCATGTTGTCTGGTATACTGGACTATTATTTAGAGACCCCCTTCATGTTGTCTGGTTTACTGGACTATTATTTAGATACTCCCTTCCTGTTGTCTGATACATTGGACTATTATTTAGAGGCTTCCTTCCTGTTGTCTGGTTTACTGGACTATTATTTAGAGACTCCCTTCATGTTGTCTGATATACTGGACTATTATTTAAGAGACTCCCTTCATGTTGTCTGGTATACTAGACTATTATTTAAGAGACTCCCTTCATGTTGTCTGATATACTGGATTATTATTTAGAGACCCCCTTCCTGTTGTCTGGTATACTGGACTATTATTTAGAGACTCCCTTCATGTTGTCTGGTTTACTGGACTATTATTTAGAGACTCCCTTCCCTGTTGTCTGATATACTGGACTATTCTTTGGAGACCCCCTTCCTGTTGTCTGGTTTACTGGACTATTATTTAGAGACTCCCTTCCTGTTGTCTGATATACTGGACTATTATTTAGAGGCTCCCTTCCTGTTGTCTGGTTTACTAGACTATTCTTTGGAGACCCCCTTTAACTGTTGCTAGTTTAATGGATTATATTTTAGAACGCCCTTCTTTGATGTGTGGTTTACTTTACTATTATTGAGATACGCCATTCCCCGTCGTCTGGTAAACTTTAAAAGAGTTAAGAGACTCCCTTCCCTGTTTTCTGGTATACTGGACTTTTGTCTTTAGAGACTCCCTTC